GGCATACCCTCCAGGGAAGGGGGACACCGGGCATACCCTCCAGGGAAGGGGGACACCGGGCATACCCTCCAGTGAAGGGGGACACCGGGCATACTCTCCAGTGAAGGGGGACACCCGGGCATACCCACCCAGAAGCTCCTGTGCTGCAACTCCTCCTGGTCACTCGCACTCCCAGGCTCTATGGCAGGATGACCCACCCTGTGGCCCTTATTTACCTGCATGTCAGAGTTGGTGAAGCTGCAGGCTGACAGGTAGTTGGTGTGCATGGCAACAGACTTTTTTTTGGCAGCCATGTTTTCATTTTTGTCAAAGGTCAGTGGGTACACAGAACACTTATTATCCAGGCCACTAGTATGGAAGGAGAGAGTTGTCAAACGTGAGTAGGGACCCAGAATTTCTCATTCACACCAATCTTTGAAAATTTCCCCCCTTTAGCAGTATCATAGATTATAACCTTTCCCCCAACTTTTATTTTGAAGATTTTGAAATGTATAATCAAGCTGAAAGAAAATTACTTCAATGAATACATAGATCCCTTCACCTAGCTTCACTGATGTAACATTTTGCCTGTCTGTGGGAAAAAATTCTGAACCACCTGCAAATTGAGGACATGACATGATATCTAAATGCTCCACTCTGAAAATTTACATCTCCTAAAAATAAGAACATTCCCCTACAGAGCCATTATCATTACATCTGACAAATCTAACAAAATCCCCTAATACCATGTGAGAAACTACCCAATGGCACCCAGGATCCAGGGCCCAGTTAAAGTAAACATACTGCATTTGGTATATGTCTTTTATTAAAGATTTATTTATGCATACAAGATATGGAGTACAGGCCAGAGGTGCGGGTTAAATGGTGGTGGTGGTGAAGGGGGGGCAGTGAGAAGATTCACCAGAAAGTGGGAAGCAGAATGGATGGATTGACTGGAATGCACTGCTATGGGGAGCAATGGGCGAGGCAGGAGAGGTCTGCTGTGCCTGTGGGTCAGCCTGGCTGGGGATTGAACTCTGTGCTGCAGTGGCTGCTGCACTTTAACCCCTTGTGTCACCAGGAAGACTCCTGACATTTGTATCTTTTAAAAACTTTTCTGATTTAGAACAGACCCTACACCTTTTTCTTAATTAATGACAAGAGATGGGAGGTCAACTGTCTTTCGCAATGTCACAGTGGAATTGGCACAGTCACTAGGGCCAGAGTCATGTTTTGGCAAAGGTAGTATTTTATATATCTTTCTTACTGCTTCTCTGCAGGTTTGTGATACCTGTTAGACTAAGATAGTGATACCACCTTTGATTACCTGGTCAACGTGGGACCCCAGATCTCTCCAAGGTAAAGGATGACTTATTTTTTTTGTGGATTTTTTTTTTTTAAATTCATACAGAGTGGGGGTATAGACTAGAGGTGCAGGGGCGGTGAGAGGATTCACCAATGACAGAGTGGGGAGCAGAACAGGCAGATCGAGTAAGTACACTGCTTAGGGGAGCAGCAGGCGGGTCAGGAGAGGTCTGCCACACCATGTGAGTCACCTCTGGGGCAGGGATCGAACTCGTTCTGAAGCAGCCACAGCCAGCTTGCAGTGCTGCGCTCTAACCTGTTGCGCCACCAGGGAGGGCCCTAGGGTGACTTTTTTTTTTTAAAGATTTATTTATTTATTCATATAGAACTGGGGTACAGGCCAGAGATGCGGAGGGTGAGAGGATTCACCAGAGACAGAGTGGGGAGCAGAACAGGCAGATCGATGAAGTACACTGCTGAGGGGAGCAGTGGGCGGGTCAGGAGAGGTCTGCCTCGCCATGTGGATCTCCTCCAGGGAGGGTGACTTATTTTTAAGGAGTAATAATCTGTGGAGTGACCTTGAGACCATGTGATATATATTCTGTTCCCCAACAACCTTTTATATAGTGGCTTTGAAACAATTACCCTTGTTTGAATCAATATTAACTTTAGGGGTACAAAACGATGATCTCCTAATTGGAGAATTCCTTCTGCTCTTATTAGCTAATGTTTTTCTGTAAAAAAGACTGCTCTGGGCCCTCCCTGGTGGCTCAGCGGGTTAAAGCACAGCACTGAGAATCTAAAGCCGCTTCTGCATGAGTTCAATTCCTGCCAGCCCCGGAGGTGACCACATGGTGTGGCAGACCTTTCCTGACCCGCCCGCTGCTCCCCTCAGCAGTGTACTTTGACCATTTGCCTGTTCTGCTCCCCACTCTGTCTCTGGTGAAGCCTCTCGCCACCCCTGAGCCTCTGGCCTGTACCCCAGTTCTGTATGCACAAATAAATAAAATCTTAAAAAAAAAAAAAAAAAGACTCTGCTCTGCCCTTCATTTATTGCTGTATGCCCTTGTGCTCTTTTCTTCTCTTAACCATGTTATGATACAGTACTGCCATTATTGCACATGAAGCTCAAATTGTCCCAAATTTGTACAGCAGGGCCCTTTGCAAGCAGCTCCTATTGATCCCACTGGTCCTTGAATGTTTCCTTGTTTTCTGAAATAAGAAAATAGGCTAGGCTCACTTTATTCTTCTCCTAACTTAGACCTGTCATCAGCCTTACTCCAAGCAGCCTGGCTTCCTTTTAGTGGAGAATGGCATTTAGGAGGGGCACTGTCTTCTGAGGCCCTGGGGACTCCCTCTGCCTTTCCAATTGCTTGACGCTGCAGGCATGGAGTAAGGTCGGAGATCACCAGGAATTAGCTTTGGCAAGCTTGTTTACAGATCGTGTGGTGAGAATGATTTGCACTGAGGTTATGGCAGTGAGCCAGGAAGCTGTAGACAATGGGGCTTCCCTGGCCTTCGAGGTGACAAGTGTTCTCCCATTCTGAAGCTTGAGTAATTTCTATAGCTGTGCTGGGATCTCTCCACTGAGGAGCTCACTACTGTGCACTGCTAGGAGAAGCAGAGGAGCTCTGCATGTGGCACACTTGATGCTGAATTTCTGCTTTTGTACCAACACATTTTGTGACCTTAGCTATATTGCTCTCGGTTCCCTCAGTCTCAAGTATAAATGCAGTGGGGACCCCGAACACTTGTTATAGAGACTGCTGTGATGATTTTAAGTGTTCTAAATGGCCTCTGACACATGACAGGAGCTCAGCAAGTGGTCAACATCATTATTTTATATCTCTTGCTTGGATGCAGGAACTATTTACTCATCTTTGAATGTCTATGACATTCAGTGCAGAGCACACAGAGTTACTTAGAGTCAGTATGGAACACCTGAGCAAAATCTTCCTGGGTGTATTGCTTTCAAGTAGAATATAGATTTGAATATATCTGTACGACAATATTATTCATATACACAGATTACATGTACATTGTTCTCAAATAAAAATACTTAGCAAGTACAGGAACTGGCCATTGCTGACACAGCAGGCCCAGGGAAACAAGTGACTGAGATTAAGGCACCAGCCTTCCTTCTCTGCACAAACTCTTTGTATCACTGTGTCACTAGAAATCTGTTGGCCTGGCCCTTGAAAAACTCTTGTCCTCCTGCCTGCCCTGGCCCCCTGCTCTCATAGAAATTCTCCCACACATCTCCATTTAGTGAGGGTTTAAATAAGAAATAGCCTATGGTACTGTTATTATTGTATTCACGGCATATTGCTAAAGGATCTACCTAATAGATTCCCTTTGCAATTTAAAACCAGACAGTATATCCCAGTAGAAAATACTGAGAAATTATGTAACTCATCAAACTCTATGATTTGCACAAATCAATACCCATTAGAAACATGTTACCCTAGATTCTTAGAAAATATAGAATATTTATATACTATTCCTACTGAGTAGTGTGAGGTCTTACCTAGTGAGAGGTCTGGCATTTGCCTTTGGCTTCTATGAGGTGACCTACAAGCTGGAAGGTCTTGCCTGATAAGTGAATTTGTCCAGCTGAGCTGGGCCCACCAGACACTGTGACGGTATGACTTATGATAGGGGCTTTGGGATGTGTCCTGAGTTCTGACCTTCAGAGAAACTAACGGCTAAAGATATCAGCTCAAACCTCTAAAAGAGCCTGAGACTGAAGGTGCGTCATGCACACTGTGTGATGGAGCTGCAGGGAAAGGCCTGAACATCAAGGGACCGGATGCGTCCCTGTGGGTCAGATGCTGCGCCTGTCATCACGCTGTGGCTGGAGGAGGTCATGTCCATGACTCCACAGGGAGGAAAGATAGGGTTGGTCTGACTGTGTCTTGCTTATCTCTTCCACTGGCTGTTTCTAATTTGTGTGCTCCGCTGTGATAAAATTGTGAGGGTAAATATAGTACTTCCCTGAGTTCAGTAAATTAGTGAGCCTGAGGGTGGTTTTAGGGAACTCTGATTTTGTGACTGGCATCTGAAGTGAGGGAAGATTTGTGGGAATGTGCCATGGAGTTTGTTGAACTCCTTATTATCGACTTGATATGTGGGTGTGGCACATGTATTAATATATGCACATATCTAGTATCTATTTATATATCAGTATCATTTATTGAGGTCACCTCATATCCTTTTTGGAAGTAGATGGGGTATATTTTATATGTGTTCACACTCAGCTATAAAGTGAGATATACTTTTGGCTTATTTTAAAAATTGTAATGTTAGAAATACATATAGGTGAGCATGACTTCCAAAGGCATACAGGCTCTCAGCAAGCAGTGGATGGGAACAGGCACTCAAAACAGCCACCCAAAGGAGGGGCCTTGGGGAAGATGGCTGGTGTGGCGCTGGCTGGAGAAGGTGCTAAAGATTTTTCTGTCCTGATTATGAAAAACAATATATGTTTATTTGAAAGAACTAAAAGTGGAGAAAATTATAAGGAAGGGAAAAACACCTAGAGTGCGATAGTCGAGCAGGAAGTGCAACTGCATTTCCCACACACATCCCCTATAATTGCATTTTTTGGGTATAGTTCATCACGAACTTTAGACTATGTCTCTTTTCTAAACATTGTAGAAATTATTTTAATAGTCCCAGAATTACTGAACACGGGGACAGGGAAATATATTGGTAGCAGTTCTCATCATCAACTCTAATAAACTGAGTTCCAGAAAAAAGGAAAATAAGGTACAGTATTCCATCATGCCTTTCTCATTTATTAAGTTTTCCCTTTTAATGGCTATACGATATTCCATTTAATTCATGTTCTGCAACCTCGCTTAAAATTTGCTTTTGATGGACATATTATTTCCCTTTTTTTCTTTATTTGAGTAATACTACAATAAATGTTATTGCTCATATGACTTTTCTATAGTTTGGGTCATTCTTTTCAAACAAATGATACACATTACCAACATGCTTTCTAAAACAGCTGTACCAATTTAGAGTTCCCAGTAGTATTTAATAGTGGAGGATAGCTTTGAAACTCAGACAACTGGCAATCTGAAAGTAATTATGAAGAAGATTTTTGTGGTTTCTGCTCTTATAAAATTCAGAGAGAAATTTGGTAAAATAACAAGTTCTTGTTTCACTTTACCACAGAACAGTATTGCATGGTTAACAGAAGACGTCAAAGGCTGCTGCCACCACTACTTACCCACAGGCGATGGCGCATCCGGATGGAGCGTAAGCACACGCCATTACCCAGGTGCAGGGCATTGTGACTGCGTGTTCCTGGAACACAGTGTGCACCACGCACAGAATGAACAGGGTGCTTCCCCACAAATGTCCTTATATTTAACTTTAACACAACAGACCACTGGATTTCCCACTGAATTACATTACCATTTCAAAGGACAGTGGTGTGCAGGGCAGATTGGGCTGATGTGTAAATTCAGTCCCAAATAATCAACAAACTTATCAAAAGCTAAGTCTTAACTGACAAAAAATAAAATACCCTTACTACTGTATGTTTTCCTTCATGTGACCCTCTCCTTGTTATGTGTATTTCACCTTGCTTACTATGACTTGCACCCTTTTAGAAATATATTTCTGATTAACTTTTAAAATACAGATCTAAGTGTGTTTAGTTGTGAGTACAGAAGAGCTTTCTGTTCCCCAAGGGTCCTAAAACCACGCCTGGGTGGGGAGGATGTAGTGATCTTGATTTCTCCTGAAGGATAAATAGACCTGGTAAGATAGATGGTAAGACAGATGGGATGAGCACTAGCAACCACACCCCTGGCTCCGGCTTTGTCACCCAGATCCTGTGCATTCAGATAAGCAAGCAGCAAAGCCAGGATTCAGTTGCGTCTGAGTTTGAAGCCTCACCTCCAGGGGAGACGGGTCTGCTCTGGTGCCAACAACAAAAGACGTGCGAGCCCACGTGGGCAGCCGCTTGCGCTTCCTCAGTCTCCTTCTCCACTTAAGAAGGTGGGGGAGCAGGGTGTGGACACTTGAAGAGCAGAGTCAAGTGCTGGTTTCCTTCTGTTACGATTTGCTCTGCTTTTGTGTGAAACATGGGCCTGGAAATTCTATTGTCACTCACAGTCAAGCAGCAGTTAGAAGTGAAGAATTATCTACTGCCCTCCAATGAATGTGTGCCACTCTCAGCTCAGGTCATACAAGGACACTTTCTTTACAAAGGACAACTACATTCCCTACCAGGGGCCACAAGTGGCAACTACAGTGCCCCAGAAATCAGGCAGTGTGTGTTCTGCGCTGTCCTAAGGTGTAAACAGAAACAACCACCCTCACTCCCACAGGCGCTTGAAGACACTGAGGAGTGCTGGGAGAGGCAGCGGCTCCCATCAAGGGAGAGACAGACAGGAATGCCCTTTGCAAATTGCCAAGGTGTCATTTTTATTATTCCCCTGGGGCCTGACCATTAGGAACTCTGCTCTACAAGACAGTTCTGGGCCCACTCGCCAGGGAAACAGATGTCCTTCATGACATTTACTGGACAATTCACAATGCTGGATGGATAATGAAGATGGATGCTGTTCATGAAGGCAGACAGAGGTCTCCCTTTTATATCGTGAAAAGGTAAACATTCTAAGTAAACACTGCAATCCATTTTTAGTGCACAATTATTATAAATAACAACATGATGCAGGTATGCTAGTTTACCTATCTATTCTGGAATTTCTTTTTATTGAAGAGTCTAAATTTGGTGCAATTTGAGCTGCTGAGTGCCCAGGCCAGACAGGCAAGAGGCTTAGACTCCACTGCAGACTTGGATGGATCAAGCTCACCGCAGCCTCCACTTCCCCATCCGCCATCTGCGGATGTCCACGGTGCTATAAGTCTGGTCAAAGACCGAGGAAAGGAAACTGAGGATTTGGGTACCTCTTATCATCACTAAGAAAAATAACAAGCACAGTTGCCAGCATGAATGAAACCAGTTTTCTAGGCCAGGCTCTTTTCTGTTTGGTGGCCTCTACGGTACCACTGCTGTGACACCTAAACTCAGATGGACTTCCATTGTCAACAAGCTCCCTAGAAACAGGATGATGACTACTGGGGTGCTTCAAAGATATGAGAACAGGAAGCAGGGGGCTAGATCAGCAGCTAAAAACCAGGCTAGGTGCTGGGTCACCTCATGTACCAGAAAGAGCACCTTACCTTGTTAGTAGTGAAGGAGTCCCACACGATGACCTTCCCGTCCTGGAGGGAAAGGGAAAACAGTTGAGGAGCTACCAAGACCTTGCAGGCTAACTCCTGAGAACTGCCCATACAAGCTGGGCAGGGCCAGTGTCTGGATAATCAAGACCCTCCAGTCCATCTTTGAAATAAAAGGGGTTTTTGAACTTCTCAGCCTGGCTAAAGGCTCTGTTCCTGACCGTCCATGTCTCATGCACACACAAAGACAGGAAGCAGTGTTCAGATACTTCTTTTACACCTTTATAAACAAAGGACAAATGGTTGGTAAACAGTCATCACCCACCATATCCTAAATGTCAACTAATTATACAGGAGTAAGATGAAGCTGGAATTACCTTTGGGTACCTGACAGGTACCCAGTGTCTCACTGTATCACTCCAGCTAGCCTAGCCTCTCTGCCACTTGCTGTCAGCTCACAGCCCTGCAGGAGGGGTAGGAGCCCCATGCCCATTCTGACCCACCTGTCTGCATGGTGTGGGCCTATGATGGTCTAACCTCTCCAGATGCTCCAGCCACCCCCACTGCTCACACTGACATTCATATCTACACAGAGAACAACACGAGACCCACATCATTTAGGGCTGGGACTCCCTGTGGGCAGCTTGTCCAGTAAACAGAGAATGCTCCTGTAAGCTCAGAGGCATGACAGATATGCTGCCATTTTCACAGTCAGTGCTGCCGCAGCCCACAATGGAAGTGTGGGAAGTGACTATGGTGTTCTCTGCCTGCAATACATCAACCCTCTGATCCCTGGTCCCTACAATGCAGTGGTCTGCTCAGAGAGGGCCCTAGCCATGGTGGAGGAGGACGGCTGAGCAGACCTCCAGCAAACAAGTGCCTGCACACCCTCGTGGCGGTGAACCTGCAGCCTCCACAGCTGGCTTGACTCTTTCCCTGTCATTCAAACCATTTGAAGACATTTCTGGGAAGTGGGGCACCAGCTAGGTCTAATTATCTCCAATGACATGACTGCGTGCGTGGCGTGGTATAATGGAAGATTTCCATACCACACTGCATGCAAATGAGGAGCCCTGGACCAAGGTGCAGGTGGCAGTCTGGGACTTTCAAAACTCCTAAGCATGCTGGTCTTCTAGCCTAATTTCTCTGACTAAATGTCCAAATACAACCTGTGGTAGGTTAGGTAACAGAAGAGAAAATACCCACCCACTGTGTGCACAGGAGAGAAAAAGGCAGCCAGGAGGCTAAGATCAGCCTTATAAAGGGAACTGTGGTTCCTTCCCTGAGCACAGATTTATATGCAGGGGCCTGCGTGCCTGGAGAACCGGCCTCCACTCTGACCCAATCCCACATGGTCAGGCTGATTCTCCTCCTGCCTTCTGAGGTAGAGTGCTGAGTCACTCGGTCTGCTCCAAAGCCTGCCTTCCCTCCCCAGCCCTGCCCCACCCCCAGCACCTACTTCCCTCCCTCTGAGGCAGAGGGGATGGATGGAGGGTGTCAGAGCTGCTGAGCATCCCTCCCCCCCAAAAAAAAGCAGTACATGAGTGACAGAAAATTCAGCATATATTATAATTTGAAGGATAAAAAAAAATTCAAAAAGGCAAGGCAGACATTTAGATAACCACAATGTAATGATGAGAAGTTGGGGGGAAAAAAAGACAACTGGAAAGAAATGCTCTAAATAACAATGGTTGTGGGTAGTGGGAGTAAAGACCTTTTACTTCTCTTTCCCAATGTTTCCTAAATGTGGTAAAGTACTTAAAAGAGAAATTTTTTTATGAACATTTAAAAACAAACCAAGTACCATGGGGCATACTAGCTTCGTAGGCAATACAGGAAATTAATGACATGTAAAATATAAACAAAACAGTGATGCTGGTGTGAAAGCTTGTGGATTGTTTAAAATATCTACAGAAGCCTGCTCACCTGTCAGGCTGAGGACGCATGCCTACCTGGGATGAGCTCACGATCCTCCTCTTATCTTTGCACCAGTCCATGCAGAGAACTTTGTTCCCATGGCCTTTCAGGGTCCTTCTGGTCTTCATGACAAACTGCCCCAGGGCTTCTACCCGTTCTGCCACCTGGTGCACTGGAAGGACAAGGTCACGGTCAGTTCAGCTGTATGTACCAGGACCAGGTTCTGAGCCCCACATGGGCCTGGGAGGACACTGGTCTCCTCTGCAGCCACAGCTTGATTCTCCTTTTCTTTATAATCACATCCTCCCAACACTCTTTCACGTTCAGAAACTGATAGAGGCAACACTGTGTTGAAGAACATTTCAAGAATGACTTTTTAAAAAAGATGTATTTATTTATATATGCAGAAGTGGGGTATAGGCTAGAGGTGGGGGGATGGTGGTGACAGGATTCACCAGAGACAGAGTGGGGAACAGAACAGGCAGATCTACTGAAATATACTGCTGAGGGGAGCAGTAGGAAGGTAAGGAGAGGTCTACTGTGCCATGTGGGTCTCCTCCCTGGCTGGGTATTGAACTCGTGCTGCAGTGGCTGCAACAGCTTCATAGTGTTGTGCTTTAACCCATGCACCACCAGGGAGGGCCCAAGAATGACATTTTTCAATGCATCTCAACAGATGCATATTGGAGGATTAATGACAAAGACGACCTCATATCTGTAGAGCAGTACATACAATTCCCTCACGGAAGGAAGGGTCATAGCACGGTGAGGTGGGCAAGGCAGGCAGCACAGGTCGCTATTTTCAGGTGAGGAGACTGAGGCTCGCAAAGGCTTTTCACTAATACAAGTTCATATATTGAACTGGGAGCCAAGTGGCGGTTTCTCATTCTTTTTTCTACCATTTTCTGGTCACAAGGGAAAATGACTTCATAAAAACTAGCCTGGCAGGTACCTTCACGTGGCCCACACTGCTGACAGTAGGCACCGTGACCCAACTGGTCCCCTGCCTAACACAGTCCCGGTGTAGAGCAGTCACCTCAACAGGCAAGAATGTACAAGCAAACCACCGAACAACTTACATCACACATGGGTTCACTGACAACTTAGTGTCAGAAGACATTAACACAGTGTTCTATAAGTCGGAACACATGACTTACACATCTAAGACCAGGAAGGACCTCCAAAAAGCAATCTTTCAGCAGCTGGGCTGTCAGCCCCTCTCCCAAGGCTAAGGCAGAGTTTACTGAGGCTGTCACTGGTGAGGGTCAAAGGAAGGTAAGGTCCCACGAAGTGGCATCAAGGGTCACAGGGACCATCCAGTGTAGGCACCTCATGGCACAGGGAAGGAAATAGGGAGGGGGACAACTTGTGTCCTGCCTCAGGCAGAGTTACCTGCTTTCTATGTACAGGCTGTGCTGGGGGGAGAAGCCTGCCTGTTGTCCCCCTCCACTTCTGCCTGCAGACTTCTCAGCTGGCAGGCACAGAGGAGGGAGGACAGGTACATTCCAGTCAAGGGGCTAACGTAGGAAAGGTACAGACAGAGACCCTTGGGTAGGGTAAGGCCCTCATGCCTCCCTGGAGCTGCTGGGGCTTGCTGGGGAAGTGCCCCTCTCACTTCTGCAAGCCTGGGCCCACAGGGGCCAGCTCTGGTTTAAGCCACAAGGCAACAGACCCCCCCTTCTGGGGAAGCCTTCATTCATTCCTCCCCAAGCCTTCATTCATTCCTCCCCTTGTCCCTTCCTTCTCTCTGAACAATTCAGTGTTATTTCCTAAAAAACAAGAAATCCTCTTACGTAAGCCACATATAATGACCAATGTCAGAAAATTAACACCGAAACAAAACCATGTCTCAGCCACAGCTCTTACTGAGATCCTCCATTCTCCCAATAATGTCTTTGTAGCAAAAGAAATGCTAGGATTGTATGGGGCATTCAGTCGTAGTGTTTCTTTAGACTCTAGCTATTTAGTTCCTTACCTCGGTGTATCTGATGCTGGCCAAGACTGCATTTCAGAATGCATGTAGGGAAGGAACCCCACAGTCTGAGTTTCTGTCACTATGTCCCATCAGGAGGCACCTGCACTGTTGCTACTCTGATGCTTAAGGTGGCACCTGCCAGGCTTTTCCAGTAACCATTTTACCTTTTGTAATAAAAAGTCTCTTATGGAAAAAGTCTCTTATGGAGACATACTTTATACATATATTCCTCAAACTTGAATAACGGCTATAATACCATTTACGATTCTTGCCTGCCTGTCAGTTACTACAGTGGTTGGCAACTGGTGATTTTTCTACTTTCATGATTCCTTCTGTATCTTTCAGTTGGCTTTCTGATAAGGAGAACCTTCCCCTCCTCCCCAATGTATGTATTTTTGAGATTCTATCCAGTCCTGGTTTGCTCAGCTGAAGCCTCATCATGCAGGCCTCCTTCTGAGAGTCTCCATTTTTCTCTACGCACTTTTTATTAGAGGCTCATCTATTTTTTTCCTGCATCAGCTCTGTCATCAATCAGTTTTCCAGGATGTCTTGATGTTTGAGTTGCTGCATTTCTTTATGATGAAAGAACGAGAGTGAACAGGTGCAAGTCTTTGTGAAAATACAAACTAAAAAAAATCTTGCTAAACTATAAAGTGCCACATGACTTGCAATTATTACCCCATCAATTCTGCTAAAACATCATATATATATTTTTATTGTTACAAGAAGCATGTAATCCTTCAGATACATTTTGTGTCAAAGACATATTGAATGAATTTCTAAATTCTTACAGGCCTTTTACACAAACCTGCATCATCTCATGGTTTTCAGCATACTGTTTAGTACTTCACTTTCGAGACTTCACATTGCTAATATTTTATCTCCCCAAATTCAGCTTTAGGACCATGACTTTTAAATGTCCCTTTTACAAAAAAAAAAAAAAAAAAGATGACTCACCAAACCGAAATAGGACCTCCTTACATAATGCAAATTTGAACATATCCAACTATTAATTATTTTTTCTCACTGCGTTTTCCCTTCCCACATACGATTCACTCACAGCCCACTCCATCCTGCTTCTATCTGCCAAATCTCACATCTACTGAATTTTAAAAAGTTAAATACCTGGAAACAAACAAAAAAAGCAACAGGAGAGGAGCTGAATGTGTTCTGTGGCTAGGAACCCGAGTACCGGTGGTGGGTCAGATCAGGTGTGGTGTCTACTTTTACCTTTGACAGGCCACCCCTCTGGGGCTTTTATTTTTAAAGAAATATGAATACAACCAGATAGGTTCTAAAATAGGAACTTACTAGGAACAATAAGCTTTAGGAAATTCCACTAGAAGGGAAGCAGCAGGCTTTTCTGGTTCGGTCCCCTCAGAGTGGGAGAGGTGGCACGCCTGGCTGTGGGTTAGGGCAGCCTGGGACAGATCCAGACTCCGCTCCGCACAGCTCTGGCACCACTATGTCTTCTGCAACCAGCTGCTTCCCTTCCCACCACCTCACTTCCCTCGTGGGATTGTTGGGATAACTGTTTGTCACAAAGGAAGCACTTTTGATAAGTGCTAGCTGTTACTCTCCAGCTTAGCACACAGTGGGTACCGAGAAGTTGAAATAATGAATGAAATGCTTAGTACTTAGTACTGCCCCATCAGCAGGGGCAGTCACAGGCAGCAGTCTTGGGTGTGTAAACGTAACTTTTAACCCCTCTTTCCTTCGTTTTCTCCTTCTGCTCTAAAACACCAGCATTGCCAAGCAAATGCTTTATTGGGGATTACTCAACCAGCACTGGATGAGGCAGGCATACCTGTTTCCTGATCCCAGGAATCAGAATCCATGGAACAGAGCCAGGGACCCTGCATTTCCCACAAGCACACCAGGTGGATTCTGTCCACTAAAGGTGGAGGTAGGATCCTAACTCCCCACCTTAGTGTCAGTAGCTCTGAGAAGTTCATAAATGTCTTAGATGAGCAGAGCAAGCAGGAGAAAGGTGCTGTTGGAGTTCATTGCTGAGAAACAGTGATGCCCCAAACCCAAATGGGAAGTTGAAAAAGGTGCTGGCTAGGAACAGAGGTGACAGGCGGTCTTTTTGATGGCGTGGGTGGGGCGGTCAGTAGAAATGAAAAACCATGGCTGGAACGCAAGGACTGAAAGGAGAGGCCAGTAACTGTTTACTGCTCGAGTGATGTTTTCAGAACCCCTCCCCCGCCCCCCTCCCTATTCCCCCCTCCCAGATCTCCTGCCCACTTGCTTGGGTCAGGAAAGGTAAGACAGTCCCTGCTCTTACAGACAGCCTCCAGGGGGCAGAAGGGTGGCAAATGGGAACAAACCCCAGGGCAGTGGGAGGGTGGCTGACAGTGGTGTCAGGGAGCCCAGAAGGACATGGCCATTCTGCTCGGTGTGGCCACCACAGTGGATGTCATAGGACTCTGGTTTTGAAGGATGAATAGGAATTGGGGGCAGGAACTTAATTCTTAATATTTTTGCTTGCTTATTCTCAGAAAAATGTAAGACAATGACCTAGCCCACGGGTATTATGCAATTTAACTGAGAGGGCACATTAACATGCCTAATAGGTGACTGCAGTCCAGGACTATAAAATGTAGAACTGGGGTCCTAGGACTTAAGAAAGAGAAAAATCACAAACAACCATATAATCTGGAAGAAGGCTCTTGAAATGAAAAGGCAACGAGACCTAAAACGTATTGAGGATAGGAGAGAAATGGAGGATAAAAAGCAAAGGTTACAGACAGGGAGGGTTTTTTTTCTTCTTCTTCAATTACTCTTCATATAATTACAGAAATAAATTCACACCCATTGAAAGTAATCAGAAAATAGTAACATATGGTCTCTTAAATTCTGTTTAGCACAACCATTCTTAACATTTAGTGCATGTCCTTTTAGACCACTTCTCTGCTATGTGTGCACTTGTGTGTAAGCAAATTACACTCCACATACAAATGTGGGGACATGTTTCTTTACCTGATAAGTTTAAGGGCTCCATTCTGTGTAATTTAATATCTGTCACTTAATGATGTAACATTCCGCTATATGGACATACCATAATTTAAAAAAGTTCCCTATTAGGGAGCGCTTAAACTTTGTTCCAGAGCTGCTAGAACAGCATTGTACTGCATTACCTCATTAGATAAATTCCCATTAGTGGAACTGCTGATTCAAAGGCAAAGCATATTTTTAAAATGCTTTCAATGTGTGTTGCCATTATTCATCATTTCCTGCTTGTCTCCCAGGAGCTTTACAGTCTGAGGACACAGGCTTTACATCATTTCTAAGGGAAGGAAGCTGAAGCTCTGCAAGGTTAAGCACCTATGGGGTACATACTCAGACCCCAAAGTGTAGAGAAATGCCTTCCTCACGGGGGTGCACTCTGAGCAAGTGGCTGTAATTGTTTAATAAAAATCAAAGACCAGGTGACGCAGTGACTATGGCTCCTAGTCCAGGAAGCATTGTGTTGTAGATCCTCTAACCTTCTCAAGGTGGGTTCAGCAATAGGTCAGATAGCGATTCTAGACCAGGAGCTAAGAAACTCACCCTAATCCTGGTTCACCCCAAAGTGAAAGCCGGGAGACCTTAATAACTCAGCACATAGAGCTGAGCACGCCCCTGGGCACCCTGTGCTGGGCACCAGATGTGCAGGGCGCTGAGGGCTGGCAGGGGTGTGGCACAGCGGTCTTCAGGCTTTCGTCTGAGTTGGAGCCCACCCTCTCTCACTGCTCTCCTCTGCGTTCTAGCAAGATCTGATCAGAAGTCCTACCCAGAAAATGGATTGCAGCAGACCTGAGATGGTAAAGGGTCAAAGGAGGATGCAGTGAGGAGAGGCATACATTTTCATCTCTGTGTGAATTTTCAATATAAATTTAGGGATATAAGGCATGAAAGCAAGTTAAAATATTTCAGTGAACAAATTTCAGTAGTTCAATTTTGTAACAATAGGAATAAACCTGTTAAATATTTCTGGACAATGCCAGCATTTGGATTTTTTTTTAAACAAGTAAATTCATTAATGATAGCAGCTAAATGGTATTTATAGCACTTTTTAAATCATATAGCATATTCTGTCCCTGTCCTGTACTTTTCTGAGTTATCCGACATACAAGTACATGTTTTTAGTGTCTGTTGTCTGTGCTGGTCCACAGGTTTCCTAAAAAATACATTAAACTATTTAAAAAAAAAAAGATGTAAACTAGTTTTATCTCAATCCAACCTAACTGGAAGAGTTAACTTATGATACAGATGTTAAGATGAGATACTATATGGTTCAATGTAGTAGTTTTTAAATAAACACACTGAAAAGAACTGCAATTGAGTTAGGTAGCTAGACCCTATGTTGTGTTAAATTAAAAGTAGGCTTATTTTCTGCCTAGTAAAAATTCAATTACACTTATAGATAAACACGTAAACAGTGAAACACAAGATATAGCAACATATTAAAAGTGGCTGCCTCTGGGTGGTGGAGTTATGGATGACTTGTATAAATTTATAAATTATAACGAGCATTACTTCATTCTGCTAGAGGGAGCCCAAATATTTTAGAAGTACTGCATTAGCTAGCTTTTGTGTTTATGAATGCCCACATAAAAAGAAGGGAAGGGAAGGGAAAGGTAGGCTTGCTTCCTGCTCCCTTTTACGGCTGCTGGGGGTAGTGAGTTACTCTATGGGAAACTCCCTTTGTAAGCCTCCAGATAGGCAGCACACATCCTTAGCATGTAGAAGCAACCTAACAGATCTGTTTCTAACTAATCCAGAAATCTGATTTTCCTAGATCTCCCCACCCACTAAGAGCGGCATAGCCCAAGGCTCACAACACCAAGCACTTGGAATAAAACCTTCCACAAAGCTACATTTGGAATACACAGTTACATTTACAATAGTGAACAGCATCT